TCCTGGAAGAGGTTGAGGGGGTCAGGGCCCTCCTCTTCCCCCTCATCCGCCACCGAGGTTGGGCTGACCGCCGGGCTCGGGACCTTGGCTGTGTCTGACTCGCTTTTCTTGTCCCCGTCCCCGCCCCAGTCGATCCCCTCCGGTTCGCCTTCGTTTCTGCCTGCCTGGTTGGTTGGGCCTCTCCCCTCCGTCTGCGGGCCACACCCCCCGTCTGCTCCTGTAGCGCGGGGGTTCGCTCTGGGAGCACGGACAGAGGTGTCCTCCTGTGCAGGTCCGAGGCTGTCTGCTGGGGGGGGGGCAGCGGTTCCTTGTGGGGATACGCAAAGCGTCAACAAGTTGTTTCTCACTCTCCCTCCCTCTCTCTTTTTTTGTTATCTCTCTCTCTATATATATATAGTTATTGCACGCTGGGCCTCCAACCACACAGTGGAGCAAGATGCTGGGTGAGGAAGGCGGAAAGAGGAATGATGGAATGCTGGGAATAAAATATTGGGAGCACGGAAACGGATGAAGGAGGCGGAGAGAAGACAGCGTAACGGAGACCCGGGAAAATGACGCAGCGAGGAAGAGGGAGGAGAGGAAGGCGAAGGATGTGGAGCGGGAGACGGAGAAGAACCAAAAGCAGGATAGAGAACAACACTAATGGACAACGAGGGATGGGGGAAACGGAACCGCATTCTGGGGCACGCCAGCGCCTGTGCCAGGAAGGAACAGAGGGTGCGGGGGTCGAGCTTGAAACAACTGCGTTTGGACTGATTTATGTTCCCCAATCATTTTGTGGTGCTGGGTCCTCGTTTTGAAGAGACAGCACCCCGCGTTCCCACTCCTCCACCTCCCTCCCCCCCTCCTCCCTCTATTCATCCGCCTCGTCACCGTCACGGTCATCGTCATCATCGTCATATGGAGCTCCACCGAGGGTTTCAGCGGGAGCGTCCGCATGGCACCGCCGCCCCATTTTGGCACGAACCTCACACGGTTCGTGGCCCCATAGGGAGCTCCACCTGACGGCCCCAGCGGGAACGCCCGCATGGCAACGCCGCCTCATTGTGGCACACCCCTCACACGGTTCGTGGCCCCACAGGGAGCTCCATTTGACGGCCCCAGCGGGAACGTCCGCATGGAACCGCCGCCCAATTGTGGCACACTCCTCACACGGTTCGTGGCCCCATAGGGAGCTCCACCGAAGGCCCCAGCGGGAGCGTCCGCATGGCACCGCCGCTCCATTATGGCACACCCCTCACACGGTTCGTGCCCTCATGGCGGGTTCCACCGAATGCCCCAGCGGGAGCGCCCGCATGGCACCGCCGCCCCATTTTGACACGCCCCTCACACGGTTCGTGGCCTCATAGGGAGCTCCGCCGAAGGCCCCAGCCGGAGCGTCCGCATGGCACCGCCGCTCCGTTGTGGCACACCCCTCACACGGCCCGCGTCCCCATAGGGAGCGTTCCAGCGGGATCGTCCGCATGGCACCGCCGCACCATTTTGACACACCCCTCACACGGTTCGTTGCCTCATAGGGAACTCCACCTGACGGCCCCAGCGGGAACGCCCGCATGGCACCGTCACCCCAGTTGGCACACACTTCACACGGTTCGCGGCCCCATAGGGAGCTCCACCGAAAGTCCCAGCGGGACCGCTCGCACGGCACCGCCGCCCCATTTTGGCACACCTCTCACACGGTTCGTGGCCCCATAGGGAGCCCCACGGAAGGCCCCAGCGGGAGCGTCCGCATGGCACTGCCGCTCCATTCTGGCACACCCCTCACACGGTTCGTTGCCCAATATGGAGCTCCACCGAAGGCCCCAGCGGGAGCCTCCGCATGGCACCGCCGCCCCATTTTGACACGCCCCATAGGGAGCTCCTCCGAAGGCCCTGGCGTGAGCGTCCGCGTGGCACCGCCGCCCCATTTTGACACGCCCCTCACACGGTTCGTGGCCTCATAGGGAGCTCCGCCGAAGGCCCCGGCGGGAGCGTCCGCATGGCACTGCCGCCAGATGGAGTTCCATCGAAGGCCCCAGCGGGAGCGTCTGCATGGCACGGGCCGCGCACGGGCTCAGGCGAAACCAAAAAGACTCCACGCTCGGCCGCGTCAGCTTTTCTCCTGTTCATGCACGCCGCAGTTCTTGTTGCTGCCCCCCCTTTTTCGTCTCCTCTCCCTCGCGGTACTCGCGAAAGCATCAAGTGGGGTCCTTCGTCAGGCTCATTTGTGTGTGTGTGTTGTTTCAAGTTGGCTCTGGAGGCCCCAAAAACCATCCACGATCGCACCAAAAGGCCTGCTAGAGTCCCCCAAGAGCTCTGGAAACCCTCGACGTGCCAAAATCATTGCACAGCCATGACCAAACGTATGCTTGTTTATCTTCCCATTTACGCCACCGGTGCGTCACCGAGGCGTGCGCATGTGACGCCACGGGACACCACGGGACACCGCGGGACACCGCGAGCCACCGCCAGACGGGCGGGAGGGGGATAATCATTTGTCTTGGCTTCGCCCTAGCAGCGGCGGGTTCATTCCTCTCGCGCGCCCACGCAGCTTTGCCTCGCCCGCACGCACGACACGAGCGAAACGAAACGATTTCCTGGTTGGGGGTCTCCGTCCCGCTGCGATCTCACCCCCAACCTACATTATATACATAAATACTTACGTACCGAGATACATACACACGTACAACATTACGTACGCACGCACGCACGCACGCACGCACATATACATACCTATACGACCGCCCTGCGGGCAATAAGGAAGTTGGGGGGGATTGAGACCAAATGCCCACCCTGACTGACCTCCAGCCTGTCACCTTGATATCATATTTCTCTTTTTCTCTCTCTCTCTCTCTTCCTCTCTTCCTGGCAAACATGAACTGACGGACTGGGTTGGGTGGATTGGATTGGATGCGATAAGATGGATTGGATAAGATATGATGGGTTAGATTGGAAGAAGTGGATTCGATAAGATAAGATGGATTGGATTGGCCCGCCGCAGGCGCAGAAACAAATGAATTGATGGATTGGGTTGGGTGGATTGGATTGGATGGGACAAGATAAGATGGGACAATATGGGTTGGATAAGATAAGATGGATTGGATTGGACCAGATGGATTGGATAAGATAAACTGGATGTGATAAGAACGCCAGCCGCAGGCGCCGAAAACAAAAAAAATGAAACGAATTAGCGACATGCGTTAGCGCCGGGACGCCCTGGACACCCGGGACGCCGCCCGGCCCAACTGGGACACCTCCTGGCCACCGGCGGACGGGAAACGGACTCTCGATCCTACTGACACCCGGGACACCCGGGACACCGCCTGGCCCTGGGACACCTCCCAGCCACCGGCGAACGGGGAACGGACGTTCGCTCCTACTTCGGCCTAGCTATAGGAGATAGGAGGATCACGTGCAGCTTCGCCTCGCCCGCACGCACGACACGAACGCGAAACCGAAACCGATTTCCCGGTGGGGGGTCTCCGTTTCACTGCGATCTCACCCCCTAATTTCCGATCTAGCACCCCCAGGCCCCCTCGAGCCGACTTTGCCAGGTCCAAAAATATGATCCACAGCCTGCATCGTTTTGCCCAATCGGTAGAAGAGTTCCCTGGAAGTCAGGAGGAGGTCGCGCCGGACACGGAGCTCAAGGTCTGGTCTACCCTCTGGGTTCGGGAACAGGAAGGGGCCCTCTGCGATTGCTCACGACTGAAAGATCGACGCCTGTAGAATGTTGAGGGAGGAAACATCTAATTACTACGATTGTAAGCCTTGGGAATCTAGGGATCTCTGCAGCAGGGGAACACTTCACGAGACTGGGTGTCACAGCTTGGCGCAACGCCATCTCCATCTTGGCCCTCTTGAAGCCCAGGACAACCAGACGGTAGGGATTACCAACATCACCAAGCTCAGCGCGACGCCGAACATGCCGAGAGAGCCCGTCACCGCCCCTCGGGCTCGCTGTCCCTTCCCACGCTTCCCTTCGCCATCTTCCCCACCTCCGACAGCTCCTCCTTCATCACGTCACTCATCACCATCCGTTCCTCGCGATGCCGGATGGCTTGCTGTAGCGCCTGATCCTGGCTGGTTCTCATTTTGGGGAAATGACATGCTGTTTCCTTGGCCACGTCAGCATGACATGTTATATCCAGGATGGGAAATCGTCTCAAGGCTCCCGGCAGCTAGCTGCATGTTGAATCTATGATGCACCACGATTAAGCTGAGAAGTCAAAGCATCGACCGCCGAAAAGAGCGGCTGGTCGGGACTCTTCAATGCCTCGAACAGATCTGTTATCGGGGGTGTGTGGGCTGGCAGCGATGGTACTCATTCCTGGCAGTGCTTGCGCTGCCCGCACGGGAGGTGGGGTCCCCAGAGCATAGTTTCCACGGCAAAGAAAGGAAAACGGCCGCTGCGAGCAGGGAGAACACGGCCGCCGACGGCCAGGGGGCGCGGCCACGGCTCGCCCTTGGTGCCTGGCGGCCAGACGCCCCGAGAGAGGTCTGGAAATTCAGGAGCAGGCACCTTGATCCAAAATGGCTTGAGCCAGAATAGCTACGGAGGGGTCTGGGGAAGAGGAGGATGAGGAGGAGGAGGAGGAGGAGGAGGAGGAGGAGGAAAAGGAGGAGGACGAGGAGGACGAGGAGAGGTCGGGCGGGACGAACGAGACTTGGGCACCCGCTCGGACGACTTGGGGCCACTCTCGGGCATCGGCGGCAAAACGGAGCAGCACGCCTCCGCCGACCGTCCAAACGGCCGCGGCCCACCAAGCCCGACAAATGCTCCGAGAGGCTGGCCGCAGGAACCTGCGCCGCCCGTGCGCCCCATGACGCGCCGCCAAGCTGACTCCCTGCACGGGCGCCAGCCGCGAGGAGCGGACGATGCCCGATCTTCGCTCCCTTGGACCTGGGAGCCAAACAATCAGATATGTCCAGTTCCTTCCTCCTTCCTCCTCCCATCAGCCTCTGAGATTGGGGGGGAGAGGCAGCAAGGTGGATCTGTGTCGTTGTCCTCCCCCGAAGACTCGCGCTGCCCGCGGGCGCCCGCGCCCGCGCCTGCGCCTGCGCCCGGCTCCGCCGCCGAGGCGGGTGGGCCCGCCGCAACGTCCTGCGGGGTGGCCTCCCGCAGGAGCGGGAGCTCCGCGCCCTCGGGGTCCCCCGCCGGCGGGGGCTCCGCTGCGCGGCTCGCCTGCAGTCTCCGGGGGAGGGCGTTCTCCATCGCCAACGGAACCAACTCAGGGGGTGTCTGGGGGGGCGGAACATCGAGATTGAATCTGCGATCTATCGCCGATAGACCAGCGGCAGGGAACAGATAGCGAAACCGAACGTTCCTGGGCAGGGTTGGCGATCGAACCCCTATCGGCGCTCAATGGGCGTTTGGGGGTCGATGCGTTGTCACCTGAGCCCATCTCCCATAGCGTTGCCCGGCACACCCCCTCCTCATGACTCTGCTTCGTGGGGCGGGCGGCTGGGAAAAGCTCGGGACGCTGATGTTTGGGAACTGGGACTCGCTTAGCGTGTCGCGCCGCAGCGTGGTGGACCAGAACTGGCGGGGCGACGCGCTGAGCACATTTTCTTGGCCGCTAGACTTCTTCATCGCTGTCCAGAATCCAAACGTCTAACAATATGAAGGGCAGGCCGTTTGCTTCATACGGCTCTCAGCGTAGCGCCAAACAAATTCGTTTTCAAAGTCTTCAACAACTGAAAGGAGGGACGCCGCTTCGATTTTCGACTTGTCGTCATCCGCCTTTTTCCTCTTTCCTATTTCCCCTCCTCCTCCGCCTTCTCGCACGTAGCTCGAAATGAATGTCTGACCTCTCCAACTCCTCCTCCTCCTCCTCCTCCTCCTCCTCCTCCTCCTTCCCCTCCTCCTCCTTCCCCTCCTCCTCCCCCTCCTCCCTCCTGCCGCTCTCCCCGCCTTCCTACACCTCATATTCTCCCCCACATCACCTGGAGAATCCTCTTGCCGCCCACCGATGAAGGAAATGCGCGCAGCTGGCCCAGAATTGCGACGCAGCCGAGCAGCAGGGCCATCGCGAAACCCACCGCGGCGTCGTGGTCACTCCCTCCACGGCTGCCTGAAATTCCAAAGGCGTTTCCTCCTCCACTTCATCCTCCCTCCTCCCCCCCCGGTTTTCTCATGTCTCCATCTCCCCCAATTCTCCTGCCCTTCCTTCCTCCCTCTCCCGCTCTTCCCCCCCCCCTCCGCCCCTCAATCCACCGCCCCCCCCCCCTCGCGGCGACCCCCCGCCGCTGCGTCAGCCCAAAACTTTCGATCAGGCGGCCTTCTCCGAACAGCACGGCGGCGGTGACGCCAGCCAGCTGCCCTCTGCCAGCGGAGGCGCAACGCTCCCAAGAGAAGCCGAGCATGACCTTGGCGTCTGGCCGGCCGGGAGCGGCGTCGCACCGTCCCGTCCCCCCCTGCCTCCGTCTCCTGCATTCCGCGCCTAATTCGGTGCGAACTCGAATTCCCGAGTGTCCGCTTTTGGGTCTTCGCTGACAGTGTCGGCGAAGATTCCAAGTTGATTTCGGTGGGCGACCGGGCTCCTGGGTTCCAGGAGGAAGCCAACACGCACACACCGACATCGTGTGCCAGGAAACCGTCGGACCAAGATCCTGTGGGGGCCCTCCGCACGCGTCACCACATAAGCTCTGCTTCCTCGTTTGTTAGAAGCGCGACATCGGTGTGTGCGCGCGGCCGACCGACTTGGTTGGGATTGGCGACCGACTTGGTTGGCGACCGACTTGGTTGGGCGGCCAAGTACTCGGTTTCCCTGGCTTGCTTGGAGGACTTGGCCAACGAGCCGAATCCGTGGACAGCGAAGGTCCCGAACTTACACGATGCTCGGGCAAGTACAGGATAGAGCTGGCCAGATAGATAAGTTATGAATCTAGAGAAAGGGGGAGGTCATCCAGCATGGGCCCCAAGCAACGTGCGTCTAACAATCGATGATGTGCAATATGTGTGTGTTGCAATCTAGGTTGTGCAATCCGTGTTGTGCACTCGACTTGGATCAACATCAGTGGTGCAATATCTGTGATGCTATCTAGGTGAAGAACTCTACGTGGTGCAGCATGTGCAGTGCAATCTATGTTATATATTTAATCGATGTGGAGCAATCACCGGGCCCCCTGTCACATTGAGGCGTGGATTGTTTTTCCTCCTGGTAAAGTTGTTGTATGGTAAGGCTGTTTCCGGTAGATGTGGAAGAATGCCACGGTCTTTCTGGTAAGGTTTTTGGAATTCTGATACAGGGGCCGTCCTTCCCTCTACTAGCGGACTCTTGCGTGCATCCCTCTACTCACCGAGGCCTCTTCCCTCGTGCACGCTCGAGGATTGTGCACTTGCGGGGAACTGTTCAGTTTCCCTATCCCGTCGCTGGCCAAGGACACTTGTCAATTCCTCTTGCTCCCCACTTCTCAAGCATCCGAACGTCTACTTGGTGAAACATCACCTCTCGTAGGATGAGAAGGCGAACAACTCCAGGAATCTCCCATATCATCCGACCTCGCCGACCTCGCCGACCTTGAATAACCACTGGTTCGGCCAGGAACACCATCGCAGCGTCCGTAAGCAAGCCCAGCAGAAACCCATCAGCCAGTGGTCCCGCGTGAGCGAGCTCAGCCGATTCCCAAGCCCGACGGTCCTGCAAGCGAGCTCCAGAGCAAACATTTACAAACTTCCTTCCCGGAACCGACTTAAACGAGACCATCCCCAGATCGAATCCAGAGAACCAATATTGATCAAGCGGCAATTCTGTGCACTCACCCCAGGCCCTGCCCAGGTTAGTGATCATCCGAAGCGACCGTTCACTGGCACGGCGAGAACCACGAGATGAGAGGCACCAACAAAACAAGAGCCCCAATCCGCGAGCCCTAGAGGCGTGCGCGGGCAACCTCTGACCATGTCGGCGCCTTGGAAACAGCTTCTTTTGGTTCCCCCTTCCCCTCCCCCCCGTCCTCCTCCACTGGTTCCTCCTCCCTTTCTTGGGATACAGTGAGCGGAAGCGCCTGGACAGCTGCAACATGCGACAGGCATCCACAATGACACTCATGATGGTACTTCAAGACCCAGCAGTGAACTGAGCGGAAGCACTATGGTTTGCCTCCACCGTCTGCCTCGGCATCACTGGGGTCAAGCATCCTGGACCGCAGACCCTGTGACCGATAGCTCGCCTACAGCTCGCGACGGGCAGCCACGATAAAACCTACACTGGTGATATCGGGACTGGCAACGGACAGAGCAGCAGCTCGGCCTCAAGGGGACGACAACAACGAGAAACCTCTCCGACTCGCTCCACGAGGGCGTCCGATGCTCCAAGTTAACCTCCCAGATGGCCAACTATAGCCGAAGATGGCTTCCAACATGCCAAAGACCGCTCCAGGACGGCCCCAAGCGTTCTCCGGCCCCCCCTCAAAAATATGATGGACCCACGAACCCGGAAAGGGATATAGACATGTGGAGCATGGACACGTTTTCACGATACCCAACTGGGCAACACCTCACGAAACATCCCACGAGACACTTCACGAAACATCCCACGAGACACCTCACGAAACATTCCACGAGACACCTCACGAAACATTCCACGAGACACCCCGCGAAACATTCCACGAGACACCCCACGAAACATTCCACGACGACAGGCAACCACTCAACCAAGGCGGTGTGGTCGTGCTGGGGAGTGGTCGTGCTGGGGTGTGGTCGTGCTGGGGGGTGGTCGTGCTGGGGGTGGTCGTGCTGGGGGGGTGGTCGTGCTGCTGGGGCGTGGTCGTGCTGGGGCGTGGTCGTGCTGGGGCGTGGTCGTGCTGGGGCGTGGTCGTGCTGGGGTGTGGTCGTGCTGTGGTGAGGTCGTGCTGGGGTGTGGTCGTGCTGGGGTGTGGTCTTGCTGGGGTGGGGTCGTGCTGGGGTGGGGTCCTGCTGGGGTGTGGTCGTGCTGGGGTGTGGTCGTGCTGGGGTGGGGTCGTGCTTGGGTGGGGTCGTGCTGGGGTGTGGTCGTTCTGGGGTGGTCGTGCTGGGGTGTGGTCGTGCTAGGGTGGGGTCGTGCTGGGGTGGGGTCGTGCTGGGGTGTGGTCGTGCTGGGGTGTGGTCGTGCTGGGGCGTGGTCGTGCTGGGGTGGGGTCGTGCTGGGGTGGGGTCGTGCTGGGGTGTGGTCGTGCTGGGGTGGTCCGCACCCTGTGATTTATCGATCGGGTCGTGCTGGGGTGTGGTCGTGCTGGTGCTGGGGTGTGGTCGTGCTGGGGTGTGGTCGTGCTGGGGTGTGGTCGTGCTGGGGTGTGGTCGTGCTGGGGTGTGGTCGTGCTGGGGCGTGGTCGTGCTGGGCGTGGTCGTGCTGGGGTGTGGTCATGCTGGGGGTGTGGTCGTGCTGAGGTGTCCCGCACCCTGTGATTTATCGATCGGGATTTCAAAAACAAGCGTTTCGCCTGAGACATCCTCAAATTTTAATCCGCTGGCCTCCTTCGACCTCGATATTTATCAGGGGAAAAATCCGCCGGCCTCCTTCAAGTTGGCACCGGGGGACAGGTTTACCTACTAAAAGAGAACCCTGGGCCGGAGCCCTTTCCGGGAAAAAACACCCCTCCCACGAGAGGCCAGCATCTGTCAAAACCAACAAGGAAAACAATGATGTGTGCCTTCTCTCCTTTTCGCTCCCGATGTGCATTTCAAGCATCAAATGACCTTGAGATGGTCCAAGAGAGCCCGAGAGGGCCCCAATATGGCCCCAAGAGGGCCTCAAGAAGTGCCCCTGATGGCTGCTGGAGTCCTCGTCCTCGTCCTCCTCGTCCTCCTCGGCCACGTCCCCCTCCTCTCCTCCTCCTCCTCGTCCTCCTTTTCGTCCGCGTCCTCTTCCTCGTCTTCCTCCTCGTCCTCGTGTTCGTCCTCCTCCTCGTCCTTGCCCTCGTCGTCCTCCTTCTTTCCTCCTCTTGCAAGTATTCCTTCTTCTCCTCCTCCTCCCCCTCCTCCTCCTCCTCTTCCACGTCCTCTCGTCGTCGTGCATATCCTCCTCTTGCTTCCTGCTCCCCCTCCTCCTCCTCCTCCTACTTCTCCTCCTCCTCCTCCTTCTCCTCCTCCGCATCCTCAATTCACCATGGTTTCTGGCGTTGGTTCACTGTCACTATATGTCTCTCTTCCTCCCATGTCCGAACAGCTGTCATGAGCAGCGTTTCTGACTGGGCTGACGAAGATGCGCGAAGAGTGAAGGATTGTGGGGATGTATCAGGCGGGAGCCGTTGTTGTTGTTGTAGTTCGGGGGCCAGGCGGCCAATCTGAGCCTCAAGACGCTGCTTGGTCAAACACAGGGTGCAGGCCCGGGCAAGGGCAGGTCAATTGACAAACATAGTTGGCATCGGAGGGGGAATCACAAACATCATTCCGTGGAATTGAAGACTGAATTGCAACAACACCAATCACTTGAAGACTGTTCGCTTCCAAATGCTCGCGTGCCATTCAACATATATAACCCAAACCTTCGATGCCCGCCTTCTTCGTGTTTGACCGTGTCCCCTTTTGAGGGTATGTCTTCCGTAACTGCCACGTGTAGCGGCGCAGCCCCTAAAACAGGGGAAGGGAGGGAGGAGAGAAGAGAGCAAGGGGAGGGAAAGGGACGAAGAACGAGAGAGATTACCAGAAGCGCGGTTGGGAGCAGGAGCACAAACGGCAGAGCCAAGCGTGCGGGTCGGGCGGGCGGACCCTGACGGGCGGGCGGGCCCAGACGGCCGGGTCGCTGAAGCGTCAGTCCAAAATGAGCCGTGAGGTAGTCTCGAGCGACAGCGCGACTCCCAAGTACATCGTGAGGAAGTCCAAGGCGAGAGTGTGATTCCTGAGTTTCGAAGGCGCAGCGATTCACAGAATTGCGTGGACGTCCCACGCGAGAGCGCCATGCCTTGATACACTGTGCGGAAGTCCCGCGCGAGAGCGCCTTTTTGAATACATTCTGAGGGAGTCTCAGGCGGGAACCGTTGTTGTTGTAGTGCGGGGGCCAGGGGCCCAATCTGAGACCATAGAAAAACAGGGTGCGAGCCCCGGGAAGGGGACTTCAAACTCAAAACACATAATGGGCAGCAGAGTGGGGGTCTTCAATATCTGTTCCTTAGACTTAGACGTAACAATTCGGCAACACCCACATCAAACATTTTAGAACTGTTCGCACTGATCTGCTCGCGTGTCAGTCAGCAGGTCCATTCCAAACCCTAGATAACCGCCCTCTTCGTCTTCGATCGTGCCCTCCCTGGGGAGTATACCTTCCTTACCTTCCACGTGTAGTTTGAGCAGCCACTGAGCAGAGGAAAGGAGGGACGGCGAGAGGGACAAAGGGGAGGGAGGAGGATGGGTCACGAGAGATATTACCATGAGGAGGTAAGGAGCAAGAGAACAACCAGCATAACGAAACGGACGGGCCGGGCGGGAGGACCCGAACGGGCGGATCGAGCGGGCGGGTCACTGAAGCGTCAGTCCTCCAAGAATCTCGAGGAAGTCTCGAGTGATAGCGCGATTCCCACGTAACTTGTCAGGGAGGACAAAGGGAGACAGTGACTCCTGAGTGTCGAAGACGCGGCGTCTGAACAACTTGCGAGGCAATCCAACGCGAAAACACGATTCCTGGGTACACGGTGAAGGAGTTACGGGCGAGAGCGCGATTCTGAACCAAGTATGAACCAGTTTTAAGCAGGAGCCGTTGTTCATGTAGTTCTGGGGCCAACAGCGCAGTCTGAGGTTCAAGACCTTCACTGGTAAAGCACAAGGTGGAAGCTCCGACAGGGGCACTTCAATCGAAAATCACCGGGTGCATTGGAAGGGCGGGCACGACCACTTATCATGTTTAGATGTGGGACTTGAACGCAACAACGCAACAGCGCAACCACAATCCGCACAGCGGAACCCACTTCAGCCACGCACCCAGGAGCAGTGAGTGACCGCTCGGCGCCCACACTCAAATATACACACAGTGAGAAAGATAGCGCGAGAGAGAGAGAGAGAAAGACAAAGAGAGAAAGAGAAAGATAACGAGAGAGAGAACAAAAAACGAGATGAAGAAACAACACATATGTATGTAGTGTTATAAACATTCTTCAACGGAGAATAGAGGGTCACACTTTTGAGCAATCATTGCTTGCACTGGAATAGTCTTGGCCGAAATTGAATGAGCGAGCCAGCGAACGCACCCAGCCGACTTCGCTAAACGACCATTATCCCAAGATCCAGGGCTCCTGACTTTCCGGGGTCAAGGGCCAATCCACGCCGCTACGGCAGGCTGCGTTCGACATGCATCCAGAGTTGGCAGGCATTACGCCTGCCAGAAGATGGAGGCAAACAACTGATGTGATTTTCTCGGGACATATGTATGCAGTCGGGACCCACGGGTTGGTATCATTATATGCGTACCACGTGAAACCCATCTGTGACGTCATCAATGTGTGTCACCACAGCCACACGCATATCGCACACTTGAGCACGTTTCGTTCAGATTTGTCTGCCTTCGCTGCACAAGCTCATATCACAGGCATGTGCTTGGCATTTTGTCGACCTGGTACCACGCGCGACGTCCGGATGATCCGACGAGGAACGCAGGAATACTAGATTCGCCATGTGCGCTCCTGCATGGTTGTACGCACAAGTGCTCCACATGCTGCCAGATGGCGAACTCACGGTAATCGAATACCATGGAATAGCGCCTTGCGCGTGCGAGGAAAAAGTCGCATGTGCTAAATGTGCCTGGCATTCGCTGCCGCATAACTTCCAAGTTGGATGCTTCGTGCAGAATTACTTTTGATTGTCGGGCAAGGCTCTCTGGCCTCTTCAGTCTGACGTGGGGATGTCACAAGCAGGGCCGAAATGGTGCGCTTCTGGATGCGCGAAGCCAAGCACGACTCCAGATCCAACAATATCTCGCCGATCGCAATCGGGCCGACGATCGCTGACGCTGCCCGTGCAATGGGCAGACGCTGAGACCGTGGCGCCCAGAGCCTTGAAGAGGGTCTCGATGATCTCCGAGCTAGTGGGATGCAACTCTCGGCCGAGCCTGCTTGTAGCCAGAAGGATGCCGAATGCGAAGTACGAGCAGAAGAGCGCAACGACAATATAGAGCACGGCCTTCGCCATTGCCTCCTGGATGACGTAAAATGCCAAGAACCACTCCATGGAGATGAGCGTGGCCCAAGCGCTGACATACATTGAAGTCTTCACAACCACCGAGAAGCATTTCTGGAGCAAACTGGCAAGACCGCTGGCCGATGAACTCCTCTCTCCTGTCGGGCCGCAAACCCTCAGAGACACAGTGGAAAAAGCCATTGCCAGTGACCCGGCCGCCATCGCGATCGAGATCTGCCACAACGAGTAGTGCGCTTCGTCAGAGGCATGCCCTGCTGCGAAACTAATGTGTTGCGTGATGGCGTCACGGCCATGCTGGGTTGCAAGTATGGACAGCATCAGCGAAACTGCCTCCTCTTCGCACTGCCGCACCAGCCGCTCACAACGCCTCAGCACCTCGAGATCGCGGGTCCCGTCAAAAAGCAATGACTACACGTAGGAGTGACTCTAGGCTCGAGTAAACTTTGGCGCGCGGCTTTAAGGGCGCCCGTGAGGGCCCAGCGCAACCTCGCAAGCCATTACTTCTGTGCCGCATCAACGATCGGCGGGGCGCCACTCGAGAGTTTTTCTTACGCCAGCGGGCAACCGCAGAATTCCGCAAATTGGATTCGAACGCCCCGAAGGGCACCTCGTGAGCGCTGCGAAAGCAGACGCTGCTGGGGGCCGCCACAACGATGATGTATGGCACTGCCCGGCCGCTTCGCGACCACGTCTGACCAGGTCTGACATCATTGCAAAAACTGGCCCCATCCGCGGGCCCAGAATATATTGCAATAGCAAAGATCCACACTGGGTGGAAAAAGCATCCAAACACACTCAAAGATCCAAAGATATTCAAGCAAGACGATTTTAGATCTAGGTTGGGATTCGTGACTGGTCATGGGGCAAAAGTCGCGCCGTCCGGTCGACTGGCTCCCCCTCAGGAAACCAATGCACGCTGTAGGGTGCGCCGCGTATGCGTTGCTGTCGATTGCAAGGGGGGTTGGCAGATGCGAGCACAATCACGCGATGCGGATGTCGTCGCGAGGTCAAGGTCATTCCAAAAGAAGAGTTGCCCGACCCACTTGGGGCCATCACCAAAGTTCACTCCAGCCAAGGGCCACTCTTACGTGTAGTAAAGGCGGGGCCCAGAACGGTACAAGAGGAGCCAGACTCCATCGAATGTAACAGGCGCGGCCACACATCGGGGTATTCCCTGTTTTCGGCTGGAAATCAACTTGAGGGCCATCCTACAAACAATGTCCGTCGACCTCCTCTTGCCTGAAATACGAAAGCCGTGCAAGATATTTGGCTGTTCCCCCCACCTCTTTCGTCCCCCGTCGCGTCCTGAGTGTCGCTGAAGGGTGGGAGGGGCGGGGGGACCTCTGAGCGCCTTGGAGTGTTTGGGTTATGGTCTTAGGGCCAGAATATAGTAGGGTTAGTTTGTTACGATGAGGGGTAAGGCGGAAGACTCAGGGTTAGGGTGTGACAGTGCTAGAGTCGTGTGTGGGGTCAAATGTTTCCAGCGTCGTGTTCGGGTGTGAGGGATGAGGCGTTAGGGACAAGGTGTTAGGGCTAGGGCAGACGCCAGCTTAACCCTTCCTGGGCGCATGCCGCCCTTCTCGGGCCTCGAAGGGCTCCTCTTCGCAACGGCTGGGTCCGCTTCGGGGATCGACTGTCATGGAAATCGCGCCGGGAAGGTTGTGCCTCGAGCTCGGCCTCCACGGGCCCAGCTCGACCCCCTGGGCCGTCATGGACCCAGGAGGTATCCGTGCCGGATCTGTGGTCGGGGGCAACGGCGAGGAAGGGGATCACTGGCCAGGTGTTGGGGGGAAGCGGGCCAACAGCGACGGCGGCGGGGAGCGGGAGACAGGTCCAGAAGCAAGCTAGGCGCGCTCGCGCCACATCTGACATCCTATCCTTCTCTCCCATCCCTGTTCATTGCATTAGCAGACGCGTGCCACTGCCGAACTGTAACTCACAAGAAAACGGTTGTGATATGTGCAGTCGGACAAGAGGGGCTGCGTACATAGGAGGTGGCGGATAAGCAACAGGAAGAAAAGCAGGGGCCGTCTGGGGCTCTTCCGGAGGTCGTCGTCAGCTCTCTTGGAGCTACCGCGGGGCAGTCCGTGGCCATATCGGAGCAATATGGGATCTCTATTGGGGACCTCTTGGGGCTCCGAGGCCACCTTGGAGCTACATGTCGCCAACAAATGAGAACTCTGGAAAATTAGTCTTCGGGGCACTTTGTAATGTTGGGAGCTTCCTGGGGGGACCCGGGGGCATCTTGAGACCATCTTGGGACCCTCGTGGCATGTCTGCAGAGCTCTGGGAGCTTCCCAAGGAGGCCAGGGGATGCCCGGGGAGGGAAAAGATTACGGGTGCCCCTGATGTGCTGCGGCCCTGGCCTCCCCGGGCACAGTTTCTGGCACATCATAGAA